TCCCTGTCCCTATCATCTCTCCTATTTCCATGCCGATCTCTTCGGTTGTATGAATTATCATAATCCCTATTTCGGCCTTCATATCGGTTATCTCTGAAATCTCGATGATCATGCCCACGGTCATTCCTATCTTTTCTCCAATCACGCCCTCCTCGCCCACCTCTGTCCATTCTGTCGTACCCATGTCCGTCCCGACTATCTCTTCTGTCTCGATTTCTGTAGTTGTGTCGATCATGATACCTTCCTGAATCCTGCCTGTGGAAATTTCTATCGTTCTGTTGTACATGAGGAGGCATGTTGTTTGAATTAAAATTCGGGGGAGGTTTAGAAAAGTCTATTTTGTTGGGGTCATTATATAAATCTTTTTGCTGATTGAAATTGTCCTGCCCACGGAAACCTCTCCCACCTCGATTTCCATAATTGTCATAGCTGTTGTTATTCCCCTGGTTTCCAAACCCTCCTCCAAGGTCATTGGGTTGATTGTTGAACCTGTTATTTCCTTGATTGAACTGGTTTGGTGGAGGGGGGAACTGAAAGTTGCCTCCTGCCATGTTTGGGGTCATAGCTGGGGTCAAACCTGGAGTCAATCCTGTATTTGTAATGTCAAATGAACCTTTGGTTGTTTCCTGGTTGTGCGTGAAGCTACCCTGAGAAAATACAGACATGGGGGTCCCTGACACATAGCCAGTATCTGCACTGTGATGGCTCATATTCTCTCCTCCATGAAAGTTAAGATTTTCTGGTTTTCGTTGGTTTTGGAATTCTACTTCTGGATCATATGCCTCCTGCTCGAATCTTGTCTCAAAGCTAGAGTTTCCAGACATTGATGATGACAAACGTCGATTTCTTGGGTCTGTGTTCTGAGCCACTGGTGCAGGCACAGGAGGCAGTGTCGCCTTAGGCTGATCAGACAGCATATCCTCAATGATTCTCTGTCTCTCCTTTCCTGTACAAAGTCAAATCTACTGTAAGTATCAGCATTTCATTATATACATTCTCTATCAGGACATCTTTTTTCAACCTTTAATGATTAAAAATACATGTATTTAACTGAAAATTCCAGTCATTACACAAAAGTGATGGTCCTTTTATAAGGCACATGAATATCTGATTAACTAACTCTACAGTAAGGTTTAAGTTTAGCTTAATAACTTAATAATAGCTTCAGAAATTCTAGGACATGGTCATAAATTTGTTCTTTTATCCATTGTAGTTATCTAAATTTAGGTGTGATGAAGAATTAGTGTGCTAGCAATTGCACCAAAAAATACCAAAATATTTAACTTGCTGATGAAATTTACATACAGCTTCCATAAAGGGACATATGAATATATAGTTATCATTTAAAAAAGTGCATGCAAATCACATGGGAAAACAAGGCAAAGTTACATACCACCAGAATCAACATAAACACTCATTATGTTTCCCATTTTGGAGGTCTGGTTCAGTTTGTCTGCACATATCTTAGCTGACTTTGCTGACATAAATATGACCTAAAATGATCAAACACAATCATTATCACCAAACAAATAATCCAAATTATTTTCAAACATATACTAGAATCCATGCAAGATTTTCCCCTCTAAAGTAAAGAATATTCTTGCAAATTTTTCAGTTTTTAACAACAAAATGTAAGTTGACAAAGTCACTGTTTTTTTTTAACCAACTGCCAATGAATTTTACCTTTCCTATGCCCATGTGTTTCTTGTTTTTTGGATTATAGTAAATCTTAACTTCCTCCAGCAACCCAAACTGTTTGACCATGTTTTCTAAGAAATCCTTGCTGATGTTGTCATTTAAGTTGGTAAATGTCACTTCATTTGGTGGGGGTTCACCAACATAGTAGTTGTCATACTGAAAAAAAAAAAGAAAATTATTTATATGCAAGAATCAAGATTCTGAGGCCTGTTCAACACAGCGAGTGCTCGCGAACATTTCTGTTGGAAGGATCAGGAATTTTGGCGAGCGCTCGCAAACGTTCGCTCTGTTGAACAGGCCTCTGATCTCAGTTCAAAATTAAATTTAACATCTAGCACTGCATATTGAATTGCGATAAACAAGATACAATTTTACAAATAGCACAACTGGCAATGACTAACTTTAACCTGTTAGTCTCAATTCAAGTCAATTACATACATGTACAAGAAAATATTTATGGCCAACACACTTACAATGAGTTCATGTTTTTCTAAAAGTAGCAAAACAATGCAATGTACTGAATTATGGAGAAAGTAAAGCAATATGACTATCCCAGAGGTACTCTTAAACCCTGATTTGAATGCCTAATTTGGAATTTTTTACAGACAGTGTTGATAGGTTGATACTCAACAATGTTAAAATAAATTAACTGACATGTTAAAAAAAAAATTCCCTCTTCTGAAGTAACATACATGTATCCTTGATCAGTGAAGTAGGGGCATATAGAGGCATAATAAAACAGCTCTATTTTTTGTACATGTTGTAAGAGGAAAATGTGTAAAAAAAAAAGATCAACTCATCATATACCTTAAATCTTGGCACAGGCAAATCTGCTGGCATTCTTTGACTCCATAACCTTTGTAGTCGGGATCTTGGGTCTCGAACGTGTACTAGTCTATTATCCTGTAAAACATAGCTGCACTATGAATTTACTTTCTATACTATCTACATGTATATACATTTACTAATTATCCTTCTTTTTTTTTTCAAACATAGCATAAATTATTTAGCAATTTTTGTTTACTGGTTAAACATACAATCACTTCAACCACCTGCTCAAAATAAAAACACACACAAAAAAGGCATTATCAAATCCCAAAATAAAATGATATGAATTTTTTCCTTTCCTAACAATTTCAGGGTACCATTAGTGATGGGAAATTGAATTTTTTTTCATAATCGATTATCGGAATAATTGGATGCACTTTAATCAATTAATAATCGATTGATTTCAATTATATTAAATTTGTTCATTTTTTGAATGAAGAATAAATTGGTTAAAAATTCTGGAGTGATTTATAAATACATTTTTCATATAGTTTGTATCATTGGATTCATGTATTAAGTTACTATGTAGGATTTAGTTAAATTCAAAGAAGAGTGAATCAAAAATCAAAGGAATAATTTCCTTTCACTAATATTCTGAATAATTGATTATCAAAATTATAATTGTTTATCTATAATCGGGGACAATTTCGATTAGATAATCGATTTAATCGATTAATTGGTACATCACTATAGGTACCATTATTATTCATTTCATCAGAATCTCCAAAACATATCTGCAATTATTTTGCTAGTTAAAATTTCATACTTTAAACTCTGGAGGACCCAAGGTTGGTAATTTTTTCATTATCATCAAGAACACAGCGAGAGTAATTGGACACAGGTAACATTAAGCTTTTAAGTATAAAAATATAAATGGGTGTCTCAAATTAGATGAAATTCGTATGAATAAATCTTTAAAACAAGAGAGAGTACAACATTCTTTTCAATATCTAATTAGATGTGGAAGCACAAAACATGGTTTTTTTTTTACCATGTAAGTGTTAAAAGTGTGGAGCATTTCATGCACAAGTGAAATGATATGCCTCCTTCACGATATGATACATGTACATATCATATTGTTTTGTCACGGTACAGTTATTTTTCATTTGATATATTTTGATAGAGGGGAACATATCCAAAGCTGTTTTATGTTTTGTTTTACCAAGACTAGTAACTTAATCTACCTGCAAATTGAATAAAAGAAATTTATTTGAATGAGGTGACCTTTAAATTAAAGATCATTCCTCAAAAATCACGTTTTTAAAATTTAATCATGCTGTGTTGCATATTTTATGATTGCCTAACCCAACTGAATAACTATCTCAACTGAAAAATGAAATGAACTGAAAATGGAGATTTTGTACAGTGTATCAAGCATAAAGTACCGCTGTGAATTGATACCATTGTGAACTGCATCACTACTAATTTCATTCATCATACAGGGCAGTAACTCAGCAAAAAAATAATAATAATAAATTTCAACAAAAAAATAAATTAAAAAAAAAATCTGCTCTTAAGCAATTGTCTAACCCTCTCTATCAAGTGAAATCTTCAGTGTTATCATACACAAGTTTGGACATTCATAAGAAAAGTACCCTGTATTGTAATAACCCATCATCCCATTAAAGGGAACTAATTCTGGCATGAAACACTGGAAGACCAAGCATTTAGCATGTAACACCTAAAGCATTAAGTGTCATCATTTTCTGTAGAAGTTTGTCCCAAAAGAATTGAATGGTCCTTCACGCCATCTCACCGTTGGATCAACGCCCTCAAATCTGTAGATCTTAGTGGATCCTCCTCTTAGCATAGGATCAACCAACAACTTATAATTACGCCTCTTCTTATCGGCTTCCATTGTCCACCTTTTAAGTTACAAGCCTGAAAAATAAAGAAAAAGATCATGATAATGAAAGGAACGGCAGATAGAGTTCGGATCCTGAAAAAATGCACCCAACAAAAATGTAAACAGTAAATAATGGCAAATAGCTCACAGCATAAAGGGTAAAAGTATAATCCAGTTTTTGAGTGCCTGATATAAGTTTGCAACAACTTAACAATTGTCTTATGTAAATAAAACATAGCTAAGTCATTCAAACTTAAAATCGCGCCTTATCAATTATTTCTTTCGCCTGTAGAGACAATTTAGTGAAGATGTTTCAGTTACATCTTTTCAGAAATCTTAGCTATCCCAGAATGCTTTTCTAGCGAAATGCTAAGCTAGGCTTTTAGGCATTGTCCGTATTTTCGAACAAATTATATTGAAATATTTTGAATCGTAAAAGTACAAAAAATGAAGAATCAAATTAGTTAAATGTTCAAATGCTCATTCTCGTCATTGCAATGATGGTTTAAAGAATAAAATAAATGACTTAGATCGAAATCCCAATCTATGTTACACGATTTTTAATTGGTTAATTTTTTGGAAAACCCCTTCAATTTCAACCAATAAAAAGGCGCCTACTGGAAAAGTTTGTTATTATGAGACTTCCAGTTTGCTTGAAACACGTGTATATTCACAACCCATGGATAGTCAGAAGAAAATCAAGAAAGTTATCAAATTTGTCGCAAAAAATGTCAAGGGTATGCCCAAATGTTCTAATGAACAGATTTTTTTTGTATTTTGTAGCTTTGATTCCATACGAATATAAAATATTTTCTCCCAGGTCCAATCAGCTTTTAGTGAAATGTTTGCATATCTTAAGATAAGCCTTCAAGAGGCTAATCAGAATACTTTTATCAAGGACTAAAGTGAGATCTTCACCTATTACACATGAATTTGATTGATTGACAAACGGATTCCTGGCCTGTTTAGAAAAAAATGTTGAAGATAATTTCAGCATGGATTTGACAATTTCTTATGTTTTAAACCGTAATAAGAGCTATAAAGGCTTACTTTATGAATGTGTTTATGAAATTAGAGAAACTTAAGTAGTCCCAAGGTAATGAGCAATATTTTTTTTTTAATTTGTGAATAATGAACAATAAAGGAGAACCAGGTATACGTACATCATTCTGAAGATAGATTAGACAGTGTTCACCCTAAATCAGACATTCTGAATATGCTGAAATCACAAAAAATTGATTTACAAGCTACATACTGAGATAAGAATTCTAATTACTTAGGTCATAAATCAGAATCAGTTATTGAACAACAAATCTTAAACAGAAAAGAAGATGTGGTGCACCTCATTTTTGTAAAGTAAGCATAGTTTGAAATAACAGATTCTCTAAGAAGACTTTTTACTTTTGAATGGAGTCTCATTTATCCCCAATCAAAATTGTTGGGATAGGTGAAGCGTCTGGATACCTGAATTGCCTTGATTTTAGTTATACCGCTTTTTATCAATGTTTTATAGTTTAAATACTTTAATTAATATACGTCAGTACCACTCAGTAATACTTTTTTAAATAAAATAAATAATCTCATTGTCATTGGATGAAACGTTGTTTATATTGCCATATTAATTATTTCTGCTTCCCAGGTTTTAATGAATGAACTTCCCCTAGCCAACTCTCTTTAGAGCTGGTAGAGAAACAAACTGTTGGTAGAGTCTTAATTTCAATACGAATGCTCATCCATACTGTGCATAAAAAAAACTTTGATGTCATGTCTATAAGTAGCAATACATAAAATCAATGTTACAACTGTATTCTAACTAAAAAATACATTTGCCGAGTACAAAAAAATTATTGACATATAAAATTATTTTCCTTAATACTTATAAAATTCATGTCAGAGAATGGAGAGTCTTGTGCACACCTATCGACCTAATATAATTAACCTTGCAGCAAGTTATTGATAACAGGTCACAGGTGATCATCTTTTAAAACAAACAGTCAGGCAAGTGTTTCTAAGCAATTAATACCCAGCTCAAGAAATTTGAGCTTAGTTTGACAGAACAATTAAAAAATTACTGTCAGGATAAATACATTAAATATAACGTAAAAATGCATTTTGTGGTAAAAAAAAAAAGACCATCTGGATACGGAACGCAAAATTCCAGATAAACGAGACAAAATAACATTAAAAAATTCTGTTCCCGGGAAAAATTGTCCAGAAGCTGAAGTGTCTGGATATCTGAGGGTCCACTATATATAGGATTTGTCAAAGTCGTCCTATCCATGGAATGGATCTAAAAAGTAGCAAACTGACCTTACTGATATTCACATATAAATCTTCACTTTTTTCTTTTACACAGATATCAAAAATGTGTCAAGGAAAGATTTAGGTTCAGCATTTCGATCAGCAATAAACAACCTACCAAATGGTAAAGTCAGAGAAGAAATTGAATCCCAGTTTGAGAGTTATCTGAGTGAGCTACAGAGGTAAAGTTTTAAACATAACAGTTTTATGATACTGCAGCTTTTGTTAAGTATGTGGTGGTCTGGAAGATTCATTCAATTTGGCTAAATAATTTAGTCAGCAGAGACATAGGTGCTAGTGCTTTTCCTCTTGAACTGAAGTATATAAAAAAAAAAAACCTATCAAGGTAGACCCTTTTGGGTTGATATTTTTAGAGGTGAGGGAGGTTGGGGGGAGAGGCTAATCAGACAGGTTCTTCCACTGTCAGGCCAGATAGCACAGTCGGTAGAGTATGGGGGCCTGGGTTTAAGTCCTGAGTTAGTTGAATGCACTTTCTCCCTTTTTCTGTGCAGAAACTGAATTGGATTTTCAAGCTCTCCAGGAGATACATGTATCTCCCAGGTGCTCATAGTATTAAAATTAGAATTTGAAAATCTGATTAAATTTTAGAATAGACATGATTAATAGAAGGGGGTGGGGTGTTAAATTAGAATTGCTAAAGAAGTGATTTTCATGAGATAGTCTATTGCTATGATAATATAATGCTAAATTTTAAAATTTAAAATTACAGAAGAGTGTCAAAAGCACAAAGGAAAGATGTTGATGGTAAAACCAGCAAAATTTACCACATCCTGAAAACAGATGAAACGTGGAAGCCACCAAAGGGAATGTCAAGTGATGAAGAAAATAAAATAAGTGAGTAATGTAATTATGGAGAATAACTACTTTTGTCCCTAAAATATATTGTGGCCCCACAGCAATTTTTCATTTGACAAGAATTACTTACCCTCATGACTTAAAATTAAGCTTTTATGTCTGTCCACAATGTTAAAACTGCATCCTTTAAATGCCGAAGCTTGCTTTTACAAACTGTGGTGTTTTTCCTCCTAGAAAACTTTGTTGACATATGTATGTGTATCTCTCACCATTGTTTTGATCTTTTATCAACAGGAAGTTGCGTCATCAGTCAGAAGTTAAGAAAAGGGCTGGATATTAAAGATGATGTATCATTATTGCAGGTTTAAGTACACCTCATTCTCTAAGTGTAATTAAAACTAAAAAAAAATGATTGTTTCAAGTCCTTGTGCAACTTTTTTATTCCAAATTTATAAGAACAAAGTAGTAGAGCCTAAGTTTTTACTGGGATTTTTTTGTTACTTCAGAAATAATTACTGCTTTACTAAACCATTTTTTTTTCATTTTGCTGATTCAGCTTTCTTTAAGCAGTGATGCTTGTTATAAAAAGTTTCTTCATGCAATTTTTTAGACCCATCAAGATGACAAAAAAGTACTAATGAAGCTAGGCTGCACTTCCATTATGCTTCAAAGCCTGAAAAACATTATGAATGTTTACATGAGGTAAGTCTGTTTAAGTGTATCTACTTATTTTTTCAAGTAACAGCAGGGGAAAATACAAGAGAAACAACAAAACACAAAATTTTCATTAATGAATTGAAGTCCAAATGATGAGGGAGTTTATTTGAAGTGGTACTGTAAAATAACATATTTTTGTGGGGTCATGCATATTTTCATGGTTTGAGGAAAAAATACATGTATTGGTTCATGGGGATTTGATTTTGTGGATGAAGAACTGTTAAATAGTTATGTATATGACATTTTACATTTCATCATCATGGTGGACATGAATTCGTAGGGCTCTTCATACCATGAAAACAACGAAAATTAAACCCCCATGAAAATTAGTGATTTCACAGAATTTTGAGTTCTCTCTCCTTAATTTTTATGTTACTCATTTTTCAGAGATTGCCAAGCAGATGTGGAAAGAGCCTTGCAAACAAAAAATGTTCCAAGGTAAATGTTTACAAAATACTACCCAATAAATAAATATTAGAATTTATTCAATAGTCTATATAGCTAGCTTATCAGCAATTTAACCAAAAAATATTATTAAAATTTTGGGGCAACAAATAAATCAATTTTAATCTTTAATTTCTAAGTCTACAGCTCCATGTTCGATCTGTAGTTTTTGACTCTCTTGCTGATTATCATAAGTACAAGTTCTAACTTTTCAATCATGAAATTTCAGAATTCAACAGTTGGCTGATTTCATGGAGGAATGTTTAAGATGGTTTGGCATGAAATACAGGGACATTTCGGTATGCAACAAGACAAATTTGTGTCAGGCAGTAGGGAATAGTTGAAAAATTTGATGTAACTTTTGATAAAAATGGAAATTTGATTCTTTCCATATTTTCTTGAGAATATTAAAATGTCTGAATTGTAGGAAAAGAAGGAGAAATCCCTACCAACATATGGAGATATTATGGCGTGTTTTTGTTCTATGTATATGGACATGAGAACAGTACTATCAAGGTTTGGAATTCTTCAATTCAAGATTAGGGCATTTGTTTAAAATTAACAAATTTTTCAAAAGAAAAGTAATTGTTTTACTATCAAGGTTTGGAATTCTTCAATTCAAGATTAGGGCATTTGTTTAAAATTAACAAATCTTTCAAAGGAAAAGCACATGTAATTTTTTTTTTCATTTTTTGTTTTGTTGGAGATTGGGGGGGGGGGATGTCATGTTTGCAAGTGTATATACATGTAAATGGTCGAAATTTAAAGTATTGAAATAATTTAAAGATCTATTTCACATTAGCCTGAGAAAATTTAAGCTAGAAAAAATATTTACAAGTTCCTACTGAAGGAAATTTTGTTTCCTACAGGAATTTACAAAAGAAGGAGAGGAAAAAGATTGCAAGAAAGCTGTGTGGATTTGTGAGTTTTCTTGTTCCTGATGAGTCCAAAGTGGACGTTTTAATGCAGTTGACGGAATTTACTTCTCAAGATGAAAAATTCATACACCCATTTTTACAGTAAGTTTGAAATTTTATACACCAGGTATGCATTTATGGTTTTCATTCTACAGCACCCCCTCCCTCCCCATTACTGCTTTCTCTATATATTCATGCATAGCATATGGATGGTCACTGGTCTAATGCAACCAGCTGCCATTCAAATTCTTATCGACAACATTAATGACACTGTTTTCAGCATCCATATTTTCAAATTTTGATTCAATCACATTGCAATCTTTTGTTCAGAAACGGAGAAAAATGTAATATACAAGTTTAATACAGTCTCTTACTGTACAACTTGCTGCATTTTTTTTAGCACCTTTGGCAGAAACCAGGTTCTGCTAAATCAAGTACAGTACTATATGTCTTGTATTTATTGTGCATTAATAAATATATTTAGAAATATGGTAAAGCAAATCTACACTAACATTGAAAAATCAATTTCTGCCAAAGATCATACACACTAAACATACTGTACGTAATACATTTACCGTATATTAAATCAGCTTGAAAGTTCTCTGACCCTCTGATTTTATTTACGGTACGTCTTGCACATTCCTTACAAAATACATGTACCTGGTGTAATTTACATTCTGTTTTATTGCATGGTTTTCATTTACATGTATTTATTTGGTTTGCATTTTAGAAAATATTTAAAGGACCCAAAAATTGAGGGAGACTGTACGATGTACCTCAAACATATTCTCTGTATTGTTCTTCTAAGTAAAAAATTGCCTGATGTCATGCAGGAATACAAACAGGTAATATAAATAATGAAATATCAGTTTAAATATTTCTTTGACATGAAAGTTCTTTTTATTGTCTCGCTATAGTTTCTGAAAACGAGAGTTTTTGGGTGATAAGTTCAATAGAAAGTCAGCCTTATGCTAAAGGGACTGTTGTTGTTTTTTATCCAGATGCCTGTTTGTTGTTCATTGTGTTTATTTATCTGTTCAGTTTTGGACAGAACATACGTGTACATATACAGTATCTTATGTGAAAGTTAATCTATTTTGCAATCATACATGGCAGACTTCTGTTTAAATTCAGTTAACTTAAACTGTTCTTTTGAAAAGTATCTATGCTGAAAATTTGTCAAACCAACGTATCACCATAATCATTGTTTCTGCTATTTTCAAAAAGTATCTGCTCATGCATACTGCATACATATATTTTGCATTCACCTAGAGTGAAGTTTATAGAGCAGTATTCTATTTAATATGAGAAAAAAAAGTTGGATGGACAATACTTGTACCTGTTGTAGATTAGACCGATTTTGTGTTTTGGTTCTCTCTCACATTTGAACTTCAAAATCTTTGCTTACTGGCCCCAAGACCATAAACTGAGACTAGACTTAGGTCAGAATTTTGATTTTTAATATCTTGAGTTTTATTTCATGTATTTGCTTAAAAATTTGCAATTTTATATAATATTTAAATTCAAATATATGATAAAAATTTTGTTTCATAATCAAAATTATTTCAAAAGTTATATTGGTTCGAAATTTTGAATTAAGTCTGTGCTCAGTTTATGGTCTTGGGGCCAGATGTTCATGAATGAAACAATGTTTTATAATTTTAACTCAAGGACTGAAAACAAACATCAAGGATGCTGGATAGTTGGATGTTGCTGTATTAATGATTTGAGTTTGGAGTAAAATGAGACAATATTTTTACAGTTTTGTTAACACATTTCTAGGCTGCTCAAAGAACACCAGCTCCAAGTGAGTTCATGTCCTGGATCTCTGCACAGAACCCAACTTTAATGGATTCCATACCAACTGACAGGAAGTTTGTTGGCGGTCACATCACCAAGTTTCTATTGGAGGATTTAGATGATGATCTTTTAGAGCAATTTTTAGATGTAAGTATTAAAAATATAAATTTAATTCAAAAATAGCTGAAGAGGTGTTGGTTACAGCAGGGTTGCTGAATGGTTGAACTTGGTTCCATGAACTTTGTACTTTGCTTGATCATCTTCCAATTGTTTTTTAAAAAAGATTTTTTATCTCAATAAATATTTAGTACATGTATATGTAAAGAGTGATAAATGAAAGGTTTTCTATTGTTTTGTAGGTGTTAAGCATTGGAGGCGATGAAGAGGCAGGCATTTCTGAGGAAGTAAGTACTTGGGTAAACCTTAAATGTTTTTTGTGTAATATTTTTTTAAAAGTAGAATAACTTTCTTTCTGAGTATTCCCATTTAGAAATTTTAATGAATCAGAAGTCTTTTTCACATATTAAATGGTTTTCTGATCAAAGTTTAGTTTTTAAGTCAAGGAGTCATGAATTATATTCAGCAGTCCTATTGTGTCCTAAAATATTGACTTATATTTCACCTTCAAAAAGTTTTGTTTTTAGCTCTACTGGTCAGAGACCAAAAGAGCTTATGCGATAGTAAGGTGTCCGTCGTCCGTCCATCTGTCTGTCCGTCCGTCTGTAAACAATTTTTCAAAATGCTACTCCTCCTACAGTTTTTGTCTGATTTCAATATTACTTGGCACACAAGTAGACTACACTAAGATACATAATTCTGTATATCGGTTTTTGATTTCGATGAACTGTGTTGCCATGGTTACTAAAAATAGAAATTTCTGTGAAAAACATTCAAAATGCTACTCCTCCTACAGTTTTGATCTGATTTCAATATAACTTGGCACACAAGTAGACTATACTCAGTGTTTTCAATAAGAGCCGGCAACCGGCAAAATTAACCGCCTGTACGAGAAATGTTGCCGGCTATTAAATTTTCGTCACTGGGATTTTGCCGGAGTTTGTACATGAAATCCGTAGATTTTTATCACGAATATCTACATGATCTAGAGTCACTTACCTTGAGTGCGCTCTTTTTCATCGAAGTTTGATTTGATCCAATACGTACGGTACTACAGCTACTGAACAAGGCTACAGCTACAACTTGCGAGAATAAAGTTTAAAGAATAATTTTTTAAATGAATAATTCCAACCTCATATAAAATTCACAACTCAACGATTGTGATTTAACTTTAGCTTTACAGGATATGATCAAGATTATTGAGAATTTGGGGCTTCATTAACAGAAGCTTCATGTATCTATGGCCGGTCTAAAATGTCGAACAGGAAAATAAATGTTTTTTTTAAATATTCACTGTCACTGCACAAGCTAGGTCAAGATTAACACAACAGCAATTATTTATATCTAGGCCGATATAATAAGACCTTACGAATAAAAGTCTTAATTGTTTAATCCTGACTGAGACGTAGGACGTAGGAATTCTTACAGTATTTCCTCAAACTGAAAATGTCAAATTTTTAGACCTAACAAATAAAGTCTTATTTTTTAAATTGTGGCCAAGACGTAGGAATTCTAACAGAATTTCCTCAAACTGAAAATGTAAACTTTGTATTCTTGTTTATTTGTGTTAGATCTCTTGTCTAAATGGCTTTATAAGGTAAAATTTGATAATTGATAGTGACCAAAATGTGAAAAAAACATGGTACTTTTTATTGGCCTGAGAGGTAAGAAAAATTAGTCAAAAATTCTAATTTTCGTTTTCGGCAGGGGGGCTTCTCCCTCCCCCCTCCAGGGCTCCCTTGACCTGCTGGGGGCCGAGGCGGCCCCCAAACCCCTTGCCGAGATTGGTTTCCTGCTATTCCAAGTATATTTCCTTCTATTGAAAAATCTTATTGAAAACACTGATACTAAGATGCATAATTCTGTATATTGGTTTTTGATTTTGATGAACGGTGTTGCCCTGGTTACTAAAAATAGAAATTTCTGTGAAATACTTTCAAAATGCTACTCCTCCTACAGTTTTGATCTGATTTCAATATAACTTGGCACACAAGTAGACTACACTAAGATACATAATTCTTTTTATTGATTTTCTGATTTCGATGAACATTGTTGCCATGGTTACTAAAAATAGAAATTTCTGTGAAATACTTTCAAAATGCTACTCCTCTTACAGTTTTGGTCTGATTTCAGTATAACTTGGCAAACAAGTAGACTACACTAGGATACATAATTCTTTATATTGATTTTCTGATTTCAATGAACATTGTTGCCATGGTTACTAAAAATAGAAATTACCTTGAAATACCTTCAAAATGCTACCCCTACAGTTTTGGTCTGATTTTAGTATTACTTAGCACACAAGTAAACTACACTAAGATACATAATTCTCTGTACCAGTTTCGGATTTCGATGAACAGTGTTGCCATGGTTACTAAAAATAGAAATTTTCTTGAAAAACTTTCAAAACGCTTCTCCTCCTACACTTTTTTGTCTGATTTCAGTATAATGTAGCATACAAGTAGACTACAGAGATACATAATTGGTGTTATTGTTTTTTGATTTTGTTGAATGATGTTGCCATGGTTACTTAAATCAAAATTTCTGTAAAATTGTTTAAAAGGCTACTCCTCCTACAGTTTTAGTCTGATATAATAATAAATCTTGCCACAAAAGAGACTAAACCAAGGATAATTATTCTATTTATTGCTGTTGCAAAGTTTCAAGTCCAAGTGCTACTTTTATCTTCCTTTATAAATACAACCAGTAGAGCTACAGTCTCGTCAGAGACTTCTGGTTCATTTCAGCATAATATAAATTTTAAAAAAATGTTATATAAATTGAAAGCATTCAAGGTGATTTTTTAAATGCTATTGTGCATTATACATGTACATGTATGTTACTCAAGGATGATATGAATAAATCTCGCACTTTGTGTAGATTCCAGATGTAGTGCTGGAAGAAGAACCTGAGACCAAGAATGAGCCCAGTAGTTCTTCCCTACCTGTCGATTTCTTCTTCATTGATAAAGGGAAACCAAAGGTAAACCATGAAATACACAACTGTCATTAATGCTACTAAAATTATTAAACAGATTTTTAAAAAAATTTTTGATGTTGCACATGTATGACTTGAGCTTTTTGTTTTATTTGACGTAGATTGTCACTCTTTTTGATTAGTATTTTTTAAATTTTTAATTCCAGGCAGATCCTGTTGAGGTTGAAGAAGGTGAGGAAAAGTTGGAGGAGGAGATTTCAGAGGTTGACTCTGGCAAGGGTTCAAATTCTGTGAGTAATGATTAAAATAATTTGTACAGCATTTGAATTCAGATCCAGCTATAAAAAGGAATATATTTTTCTGCAATTGCAATTTTTTGGGATACTTCCAAAAAGCTTTTAGAACAAGAAAGATTGTGATGGATAAAAATATGCTTACAGCTTGTTCAGTTACATAAATTCATGTATACGAAGTGAGGGCTGAAGTTTTCAAAGGAACTAATTACTACTGTAAACAGGTAAATTTTCGACCCCATTTTATTTTCGCCCTTTTGCCCTAGACACAAGTGGGCAAATTTAAGACAGGAGGAATTTAAAGAAAACTGTATAACTTCTTAGACAGAAGTGTGACTGGGAAAATTTAAAATGGGGCAAATTTGTTTGCAAGTGTGAAAGGGCGAAGATAACATGGGGCGAAAATAACGCTGTATACAGTATTTATGTGTACCGGTACATATAACTGAAAAATTGTGAATACTAATTTGAAAAAAAAAGAAATTACATGTAATAGGATGTCTTTAAAATTTTGCAGCCAGTGATGCTTTCTGATAGTGAGGAAGCTGAACCTGCCATAATCTTGGAAGATGCCCTGGATGAAATAAGTAATGTTCTCCAGAATGCTGCTAAAATGGAGGAATCAAAGCATGAGAGTGAAAGTGAAAAAGAGGATGAAGATGTAGAGATATTGGAAACAGTGATAAAGAAGAACACTTCTCTAGACAGTGGTGAGAGTGAAATTTTCAAAGGAACAAACAAAATGGATGATGATGTTGAGCTTCATCCAGGTTCTTCAGGTAAACTGCCAGAAACAGAGAAAACAAAGACCAGAATAGAGGTTGAGGTACATGTAGCTGATGTTAAAGAATCAGAAAATGTTGAGTCAACATCAAAACGTCCAGCTGCATCTCTAAGAACTACTTCAAAAAGAACATCATCAGTAAGCTCTCAAAGTTCAAAGGCAGACAAGATGAAAAAGAATGAACCAATCATAGGGTCAGAAATTGAGGCTAATAATTCTGAGTTTGATAAATCTAAATTACCATTAGAGTTCATTCAGTCCAAAGAAGATAAGGGGAAAAAGAGGAAAGGGGTCAGAGAGAAAGGTGATGTAGAATCTGATGAGAATGATCAATCCAAAGGAAACAGAAAGAGGAAAGTGATCAAAGAGAAAGATGATGTTGGGTCTAATGAGAAGGATATGGCAGCCGACAGCATGGTGTCTGATTCCTGTGAATCTGATGATGATGACGATTTTAACGTTCCAAACATTGTGACAGATGATAAATCTAGAAGCATATCAAAAGTCAGAAGTGATGAGAAAGCAGAAGACTTTATATCACCAATTATTCAAAATATTAGGGTTAAGCCTATTAAGAAGGGCCCTAGGAAAAGGATTCTGGTAGAAAAGGATGCTCCTAAAAGTGACACTGAACCAGAGAGTGGGGAGGTTTTCACTTCAATAATATCCCCACAGAAAAAGTCTAAGAATACTGAAGAAGAAGAGAAGAAGGAACTTCCTACCAAGGAAGAGGCAGCTGATCACATGACTAGAAGGAGGTCAAGAAGGAAAACTACTTCAGATCTCCCATTACACAGCAAGCTGAAAGACACCAAGGCAAATGCTAAGAGGAAATCTTTAGTGCCAGGCGTGGATTGTACACCTGAAAAGAATTCAAAGATAACCGAGTACTTTTTGAGAACGCCAATTAGAACTAGGGGAAGGGTGATTTACAAAGATGAAGAAAATGAAGAGACAAATTCCGAAGCAACTAAAGAGAGCAAATTGAGAGCTGGAGAAAGTGAAAAGAACAAGGACACTGAAGAAGAGAACACATTAGGAAAAGTGAGAACCAGGAGACAATCAGGGAAAGAAGATACCTCAAATGATTCAAAACAAAGAAAAAAGGAAAGTAAGAAAGCTACGAAGGGTGAAAAAATTGAAGAAGAGAACACTGTAGAAAAAGTGAGAACCAGGAGACAATCAGGGAAAGAAGATACCTCAAATGATTCAAATCAAAGAAAAAAGGAAAGTAAAAAAGCTATGGAGGGTGAAAAAATTGAAGAAGAGAACACTATAGGAAAAGTGAGATCAGTAAAAACCAGGAGACAATCAGAGAAAGAAGATACTACTTCTACAAAGGATTCAAAACAAGGAAAAAAGGACAATGAAAAAGCTACAGAGAGGAAAACTAGTGAGACGAAGCCAACACCTAAAAAGGCTCCACAGATACGCAGGAGAATATTACGTAGCAGTATGATATTTAAGGGTGATCAAATGGAAATCGCAGAGACTCCATCTTCTAGTAATGACAGTGCTTCACTAGAATCCCCAGAGAAAGCTACCTGATCATCAAAGAGAATTTATTGCCGGTTTAAGATTGAAGGGTTTTACTTCTATCAAATCACTATACAGTGTTTGCATGTCAGTATTCATTACTAAAGTTGACCATCAATTTTGACAAAGATGTCCTAAAAATGCATGGCTTTTTATTAAAAAAAATGAATTGAAAGTTATTATATTGCCATTTTTTGGTGCTAACCTGGTCAAATTTTTTAATTTCAAAATGAGGCCATCTGTAAAAAAAAATTGTTTGTTTGCCCTCTCCTGACGGGCTGGCTAAAATGGCTTGACTGTGATTTTTTTTTTAAAAACTCTAGGATGCAATCATTTTTCTTATTCATTCCAAAATATTCAATCAACTATTTTAGTTTTATTAATACCATCAATTTCATTGAGTTTTGAAAATTAAGCATTGATGTTGAACATTTCAGAAAAAAAATTCCCTACCTACAAACTGACCCAATCTTTTATCCCCTCGCAACAAATTTGGAGGGGATATAGTAACATGATTGTGAGTGTAAGTTGGGTGAGTGCATGCAAAACAGAAGTAATAATTTACATTGAGATTGATGTGCTCTATTTGAAGGAATGCTCTGCTTTGGAGTGCCCTTGCTTATTCTGAGTCTAGAGAGAGCAAAGAAATTTTTTTTTTAAAGATGGCCTTACATAATGTATTTGAGGATCTTGAAAAAAAAAAGTTAAACCCCAAGGTGATTGCAATTTATAAAAAAAATTCTGTGAGATGAGTAGGTAACGTTGATTTAACTCCATTATCTTTTTGTCTATTTTTTTAAGTAAAAACCAGATAATAACAATGTTAGTTAAGCTTTAATAACAAGGAACTAAAGCAAAGCATCAAATTATTTTATGAAAATTAATCAATTGAACATGTACACGTTCCTTAGTTTAATTTTTGATTAGAGTTTGATTATTGATTTGAATTTAATTATTGATTTGAGTTTAATTATTGATTAGAGTTTACATATGATTTTCCCCCCTTATTTCTTTTTTTTAATTCAGGAGAAAGTACCTATAGATGGGTTTCATTGAAGTTTTATTGTATTAATACCCAACTGGAAGTTTGACATATTCTGGCCAGCTCCAGCATTATTATTTTGATGTGGAGATAGCTGGCTACAATTACTTTTGATGGGATTTTTATTTTGAAATTCAGTGATGCAAATTAAAAAAAAAAGACTACAAGGATTATTTTTTGATAGATAGTAAATCTACATGCGCTTGAATGACACTAAAGGTAGCACTAAAAACGCTAAAATATTTAAATGAGAACAGTACTGTATACTAGCTAGCTTGCTTTTAAAATATGAATTGTCAAACTTGATGTGCGTGTTGCATGAAAATTTACCAAATATTTCCCATTGATAAGTAATACGTGGGAAATCAAAGGGATATATCAAGATTTTATAGGGCGGGGGGGGGGGGGGGATGTATTCCTTATCGGCTTGTGTCTGAACTATTTTTTCACTACAAGCATTTGAATATACATTGTATACATATGTATGACACATACAGTGTTCATGTACATATTCTTTTATGCGTGATCATAAATTATGATAATGTAATGCATTGTTGCAACCACTATTGAAATAATGACCACAATTGAAAATTATTTCAATAGTGGTTGAAAGTGCATTTCAAAACCAAACACAGGTTATAACCACTATTGAAATAATGACCACTATTGAAATAATTATTTCAATAGTGGTTGGAAGTGCATTTCAAACCATGCAAACACAGGTTGCAACCAATATTGAAATAACGTTCACTACTGAAATAATTACTTTAACAGTGATTGAAAATGCATTTCAAAACCGAACACAGGTTGCAACCACTATTGAAATAATATTCACTGTTGAAACAATGATTTCAATAGAGGTTTTGAATGCATTTCAAAACTTAAACCAGGTTACAACAACTATTGAAATAATGTTCACTTTTGAAATAAAGATTTCAATAGTGAATGAAATAATGATTTCAATAGTAATTGAAATAATGATTTTAATAGTTGCTGACAATGATTTCAATACAAAAACCACATTGGTTTTCAAAAAAGTGGTTGCAACCTAGTTTAGGTTTTGAAATGCATTCAAAACCTCTATTGAAATCATTGTTTCAATAGTAAACATTATTTCAATAGTGGTTGCAACCTGTGTTCGCTTTTGAAATGCATTTTCAACCACTATTGAAATAATTATTTCAATAGTGAACATTATTTCAATAGTGGTTGCAACCTATGTTTGGTTTTGAAATGCACTCTCAACCACTATTGAAATAATTATTTCAATAGTGGTCATTATTTCAATAGTGGTTATAACCTGTGTTTGATTTTGAAAAGCACTCTCAACAACTATTGAAATAATTATTTCAATAGTTGTCATTATTTCAATAGTGGTTATAACCTGTGTTTGGTTTTGAAATGCACTCTCAACCACCATTGAAATAATTATTTCAATAGTGGTCGTTATTTCAAAAGTGGTTGCAACAATGCATGACTGTTTTATAATTTTTACTTGGACTGTATTTTGTCATGTTCATTGTTGATATGCATGATGTTGTCTATTGTTGATATACAACTTTCATGAAAAATATTATTATAAACAATGTTTATCACTCAATGATTGAATCTTATATTTCATTGAAGGAAATGGGATTATTACGAGGAGCGTGACTACCACTATAATTCCGGTTGTTTTCGTGTTGGAATGAAATTATCAGCTGTGTTTAAAAGTAACATGAGGCCTGTTCAACAGAGCGAACGTTCGCGAGCGCTCGCCAAAATTCCTTATCTCGCCAACAGAAATGTTCGCGAGCGCTCACTCTGTTGAACACTTCAACCTTTCAGCCTCTGAAAAGCAAGATCTTGTAGTGTCACTAGTTCATATAATAAATTGCAATTTGCCGAAGTGGGGGTGAAGGATAAAGAGAGTATTAAGTCTCGTAGTCTGTAGCACTAGTATGACGAAGAAGTCATTTTGGAGACTCTTTTGTTGCAAAAATAATGAACTTGTATTTGCAGATGTAGAGACATAAATAACATTTACCGCATACAACGGGCAATTTTAGTGACTGGCAAATTTAGCGATTTTATCCTAAAACTGAGCATCAACGTTTTTTTTAGCGATATTGAGAATTGTCGGACAATACATATGACCAAATCGCCAGCGACGTTTATTTTTAACGTTGTCAAGTCTTTCACTATTAAATAATGCCAAAATTAGATGGTCGCTAAAAATTCCCGTTATACAATATTGTATTTACGTCTCTGAGAGGAGAGAACACACATTTTTAAAAGACTTTTTCTAAGTAAATTTGCACCGGGGGGGGGGGGGTCAGCAAAAAAGGGGAAAGATATTTTAAAAGGTATTTAGTTATGATTACTCTCGTTTATATGAGTTAAAAATGGATCAAAATACATTTGAGTTTGATCAGAGGTCAACACCTATTTGTTATAAGTATTCAGCATACCGTAAGAGACGCAAAAATCATTCGAACTGCGAGCGTTATTGGTGTTTACTTGTTTTTCCCGAAGAACCAGACTTAACTAGAGGTACATGTACCGTGAGCACCGAGCTCTCAAAATTATACACCCCTCCCCCTCTCCTATATGAGTATAATGCTATCCAATGTTTTGCTATGGGAAACCCAAAATATCTGTTCGATGAAAATGGGAAGTCAGATTGGCATTGTATAATAAAGATTCTGTAAAAGTTTCATTAAATTTTATAAGGTGTTGCAGACAAAAGATGGATATCCCAATATTGAAAGAATGGCAGTGTGACTGTACAGGTTTTGCTATGGTAAACCCCAAACATCTGTCCGATCAAAACGAAAAATAGGAGGTGCACAATGGTACTATGGAATAAAGATTCTGTGAAAGTCTCATATTTTATCCGTGGTATACGAGGAGATGTGGATAAGAGATGGATACCCCTCAATATTTTAGAAAGAATTGCATTGTCCATGTTTTGCCATGGGAAAGCCAAATATCTGTTCAATCAAAACGTTAAATAGGAAGTGCACAACGGCGCTATGTAATAAAGATTCTGTGAAAATCTCAATTATATATACAGTTTATGCAGTTGTATTTAGGAGGAGTTGCGGATAAGAGATAGCCGGGTATCCCCGATATTAAAGAAAGAAAAGCAGTGTCTATGTTTTGGTATGTTAAACCCCAAAATGTCAGAACGAAACAAACAATGGCACTTTGTAATAAACGTTCTGTGAAAGTCGCATTATTTTGTTCAGTAGTATACGAAGAGTTGCGGATAAACAATGCATGGGTACCGCTAAGCGTTACGGACTTACGGAAGGACCGCGACGGACATCCCCTCACTATTTACCCCCCTTCCCTTCCACGCAGGGGAAAGATAGAGACAAGAGAAACAATGCACATTGCATAATCAGGTTAAGACCTAGACGCCCTTAGATTTGGCAAGCTCCTCCTCCTTTTCGTAAACAACTAAAGTTAATTTTTTTTCTTTCGGTCAATTTTTTCGTGTTGAACCCCCACCCATCTCTGTCTTTTTCTTTGTTTTTGTTTCGAGGCAGGTATCAAAGATGGCTGGTGGCTGAAATTTCTTGGACATTTATTAATCTTATTATACACCTAAATATATTTTCCTCGGAACACTTTTATGTACCTCTATAGATTTCCCACACCGTTCAATTTGCACTAAATCCCAGTTAGCACAGCAACGTTATTAAAACGTTATAAAAACGTTATGAAAATGTTATGAAAACATTTTCTAAAACGTTATTACAACGTTATTTTGTGTGGTTTTTTAAACGTTATTATAACGTTTTGCAAAAACATTGTACTGTAATGTTTTAAAAACATTTTTAAAAACGTTTTGAAAACATTTTTAAAAACGTTTTGAAAACATTTTTAAAAACGTTTTGAGAACATTTCTTAAAACGTTTTTAAAACATTTAAAAAATCAATTTTACAACATAATAAACAATATATTTATTATAATTTAATAAATTTAAATCCATTCATTAATGTTGTCTAACACTGTTTTTTAACACCTGCACAATAAAATTACAGTCTTCTTTCAAATGAAATTTGTATTGTTTGAAATACGAAAAGATCACAGCATCCTTATTCCATTAGAAATTAATCTGTTGTACACTTGGACTTCTCTATTTTCTTCTGAAAAACAAAGATTTGGACATAAAACTTTGACTAAATAATTACCCATTCTTACTCGTACATTTCTTTTAGGTTAAACATATCCATGTATTAGGACATCTGACAACTAACAACACATACTAGTGTATAAAAATCTGATAAACACAAAGAAAGTATGTTTTGGTATACAGTTGCATTAATGAACAAAAATTTACGTGTAAATATATCTATATATTTCTGACAACCAATTTCAAACATACCTTATCATATTTAATAAATTCCTCCAGGAAGGTATGGATCAAACCTCTTCGTCCCACCTCTCATTAAATCGTAAGAGATTGTCTTTGATGCTTTGTAAGCCTTGTAAGCAGCAGCTATTAAAATGTAATGTGAAATTAATTATAAGAAATGTAAATAAGTAAATGTATAAACTATAAACATATTTAATAAATGCGTCGGAAGCAAATTAAAAGTGGGGGTTGGGGGCTAAATCAACAAAAACTTTTTTTTCGGGGGGAGGCGGGGGGGGGGGGGGGGGGTAAGCCCGAATTTTCACTAACTCTATTATGTCAAACTTTGCAAAAAAAGGGGGGGCTAAGCACCCAACCCCTAGACCCGGTTCCGACGCCTATGTTTAATAGTTAAATGAAAATAAAACAACATTACTAGTATTTAGATCGTTTTCTGTTTGCTGTATACATTTCCAATGATTTATAAGTTGATATGTTAACTGAATCTTGATGCATTTTCTTAGCATTAATGGTAATAAAACTTACTTTTAATAATTCTTTAAAAGGGTGCACTTTTCAACTCTCTGTCCAGCCTCAGTGAACTGACCCATGCAATTTGTTTGTATCATTGTCCTCATATCTCTGCCCTGCATTGAAACCATTGCATTCATCTAAAATGAGTGTTATATTTTATCATGAAGAATGTGGATTTCAAAATCTTTGATTGCTAGCAAATATATAATCAAGCCTAAGATTGATTAATTAATTCCTCTCCTTTCCCTTCAAAAAGAAAATAGGTTTAACGTGGCATCGTATTCGATCTGTAAAACATAACACAAATTCGGAAAAATCTAACAAATCATTTTACATCTCTTAAGAATTATTTAACCCTGTCTTGTTAAGACCCCTTCCCACACCCATTCCTATTCCCAACTATGTTTTAATTATGTTTTGAAACCCGTCACACATTTTTAATACATGTAAATAAACCCAAGTTTTCAAACAATAAATCGCCCGCCTAATTCAAATGCCAATATGAACTTTATAAATTCAACTCAACAAACATATATACACCTAAGTCTATGAGAATGAAAGATCTAAGATTCTAAATGCATATGTATTTATACAGCTACAATATGATTGCTAAATATACAGAATGAATACTTTTTAAAATTTAACATACCATACGTTGACATTTGTAAGATATTCTCCTATTCCTTTTCTTTGTCTTACAAGAATGCCGCCGGGTTTTTCAAAATTGTGATTCTGTTGACCTATATAGATCACATGGAAATAGCTTGCAACAAGGATCGGCTGCATCAGCCCTGGCCATGGCATCCCGCTGTGTCACTCAATTAACTCTCGATAAACACATTATCGAATGGGGAAGTCAAATAAATGACTCCACTGAATTATTTAATTCAGTAACTTTGTTGAACAAATAATTTTTTAGAATTTTTTTTACTCTCCTTGTTATATATAAATATTTTTTACAATGGTATAAGAGATAAATATGAACACATTTCCGTTTTTTTTTTTCGGGGGGGGGGGGGGGGGGTCTAAATTTTATTTTTACAACTCAAAATCAATCATAACTTTGGAGCTATTTATAAGGAAACAGTTTTATATATATATACATGTAACGTCTTACACTAAATAGTTAAAAACTTCTGGTGCTTGGAGTTGGTATTTCTGTAACGTTTTTACAATGTTTTGCAAACATTTTAAGACAATGTTGTATTCATGTTGTTTGGTAACATTTGTATTTCATGAAATTTATAATAATATTATTACAAAAAGTATGATTTTTTTTAATCATGCTATTCAATTTATAGCTACACGATATTTCCTCATTATAGAAATTAATGTTAAATGTTAAATGTTTTCTGAAAACCTCCTTGCAACAGGAACAAAATGTTATGAAAAACATTTTTAAAATGATTGTTAAGAATGTTTTCTAATAACGTCTTTACAACCAAAATAAAACGTTTTAAAAACATTTTATAAACGTTTTATTAAAAACGTTTTCAGATAATATCATTACAACGGGAATACAATGTTATGAAAACGTTTTGTGCTACCTGGGATATTGCAGTCTAAGTCATATAAATGCAATTAAACGCAAAGAAAACGAATGGAAATCCAAATGAAGGTAGGAAAAACAATATTTTAGGAGAATATTGTCAGCCTGTTACCCTCACGTCCACCACACCAGATCTTGCTGCAGAAACGACAAAACGACTTTACCCCACCCTTTCAAAATAAACATCTTGGATGAAGAAAATCTGTGCGATAATTTAATTCAAATAAGTACCAAATATACACTTAAAAGATGTGCCAATAATGTACTAAGTACTTGTACATGTATTTTGAAGAGTATTCACTGTCATTTTTCTGAAAAAAAGAACGATCAAGATAACACTAGAATCATAGCCTTTTTTGACAGATAGTGGACTTTAAATAAAAGAAATAAAAATACACTAGTTATATGAACCTTAACCGATGAATAAAGCGAAAAATCGTTTAAAATATTCTTCAGTACACTGTAAACACTTTTATCATGTTCTTTTCAACATCCACTAATGTAGACTGGTACTGAGTAACCATGAGATGATCTCCATCGGAATGGAGCGCAATTTTGTGTGGATTGGAAATTCCATCACTTATCATATTACCGATGACGTCACCATCTGTCGTCATCAGTAATACATTGTGGGACTTGCATCCTGCAACATAAACACGCGTTCCAAGAACAGCAATTCCTTTGGGATTCTTAAGTAAACCTTCATCCCGGAATTCCCATCTTTTCTCTCCACTGGTAGTAACAGCGATTACAGACCCTTTATATTTGTCGGTGACAAACAGGTTCTTGGCTGATTTGTCCATGGCTATGTAGTCAGGGAAGGAAAACAGATCATGATCTTCCTGATCCTTGCAGATGATCTTTAATTCTCTTCCGTCTTGAGACATCATTTTAATGCAAGGCGGTTGGGAATAGCAGCAGACAGCAAACTTTTTGTTGGCAAATGCAATTCCCCAACACTTTGCACCTGTCTGAATGGTGGAAATACCGAGGCAATCGTTCTCCCGAACCTGGTAAATATAAATTTTCTTGTCTGGTGGGAGACTTACGGCAACCTCGTTTCCACTGATGATTGCAATATCGTAGGGTTTCGCAGACAACACCTTTTCACCAACCCACTTGTACTCCTTATTGAAAAGCTTAATCTTGCGATGGTTCTGAAATTTAAACCGTTAACAAATGTTTACTTTACTTTAGAGCCATACAGAAAATTCTATTCCCAGAATTAATATTCAGTTTAGTGACTAAATAGGCATTGATGTTCCTTCTACGTACCTGGTCAATTAGGATGATTCTACTATTTCCAATAAATTCTGCACCAGTGAAGCAACAGTTTTCTCTATCTTGAATAGTGCGGGCTTTGAAGAAGTAATCCATTGTTGCCTGTTTCGGAGCTACTCGGTGGATTGGCGAAACTGACTTTGGTGGAAGAATAAGTGGTGGAAGTGGCGTTTGCGCAGAATCGGGATGTTTTACATCTTCATATCGAGGAGACTTTCTTGACCTGACGGAAGGTATGGGAGATAGCCTTGCTGTATGGATATTATTTCCACTTCCGAAGAAAGTTGGTGGGGATTTTCGCGAGCTTATCGGTGGCGATGCTTTTTTCATAGACAAAGGCGGAGGAGGGGACTTTCGAGTGGATAGTGGTGATGAAGGAATACTTCGAAAAGCAATGGATTCATCCTCTATGGGGTGTTCCTCGTTTGAGTTTTCCAGATTGTATGGAGGAGCAATATGAACAGGAGTGTACGTTACTGTTATCTTTCCAATGTCTCTCAATGTAGTGGAAATCGCTTGGAGCTGTTTATCTGGAGTAAAATTCATGAAGACGTCTTTCATTTGACGAGTTATATCGGAAAGGGTGTTTTCGCAGACATGAGCTTCATGTTTGACTTTGTCCACCATTAGTAGAACATCTGTGTCGGAACCATGCTTCAATGTGTTTTGAAGCAAGGACAAAGCATTATCAGTCGTGCTAGCGATACCATCACAACTATCGATGTCGGAATCGTAGTTGTTTTTCTCTTGAATCTTTATGTTTTTAATCTCTTCAGTCAGCTTGTATTCTTTAGATTTCAACAAATCGTTCATCTGCTGACGAAGGCCAGCTATTTGTTGACGAAGCTGAAAAGATGCATCTTCCAAGGTTTTCGAACTATGTTTTCGGTTTTCTGAAATCCTATTTGCCCAGTCTCGTTGCATCTTCAGTTTATCAATAATGGCATCTGTCTTGAGCCTTTGCTTATCGGCTGCTTCTTCGCAAGATGTAACGTTGAGGCATTTCCTGTGATCCAGCGTCACACAAGAGGAACAGACGACCTGGTTATGATCCTCGCAGAAGAAAGCCAGCTCTGTTCCTTCATGGTCGGGACATGGAGGTCTGTTGGCAGTGTCCTTGATTGGTTGATGTTGAAGATCGATCATGCTTATCAGGTTGTGATGTTGAGAGTATTTCAGCGACTTGTGGAAAGATTCACATTGCTCGCAGTAAGCTTCGGAGCATTCTTTACACCACTTCATTGCAATGATACTGTCATTGCGCCTTGAGCACGGGTCGCATTTTCTTTCTTCTGTCCGCAAACGAACATTTTCCATTAAGCTCTTCACGAAATGATTCACCGGGAAAGACTCAACCCAATAATGTGGAGCTTGTTGTGGATCAGGTGCATCGATTTGGCGCTTACACTTGGGACAGTTAAATCCTCTTGCCGCCTTTTGTCCTTTGGTGGATTCTATTATATGGCGACTGATGCATTCTTTGCAGAAAGAGTGAAGACATGGCAATCCTACAGGTTCTTTATAATCGTCTTCACAAATTGAACAGGTCAAAAAAGCCTCTGTGACGTCTGGTTCATATACAAATCCAGCCATAATTCATTCTGCAGAAGGCTACTGTTCTATCAAGTGATAGTTAACAACTCTGAGACACGTTACTAAGAGAAAATCAAACCCTTTTCCAATACACATTTGGTTTTGAAAATTTAACGGTGAATTAAATGTCTTTAAATCTTTTGTTTTTAATTGTTATTCGACAATAAAACCAACGTTGCACTTAATTTGGTTATTTAAAAAAAGTACAACAGCAAAGCAGGCATGAATGAATAATATTTATTATAAACATTCTTCATATATATCAAAAATGTATACCGTAATACCAAAGATAAAAATCATATATTGCATTGTCCTTGTACATGTATATATATAATATATTTAAAAGTATAAATACTGTGCAAAACATTGATGATTTTTAAAAAGTTCTATTCAAAATAAACATATGCTGCTGATTGCAAGTGGATGAACTTTTTCCTTACTTTTTGTGTAGAACAACATTGCGTGACTGAAAACTTCGTGTTTTGCCAACACTATTCTCAATTCGAGATTTTGAAAAAAGATCAGGAAATATCCAAAAATGGGCGAACAAGTATTGCCGGAACTTGGTCCTTTTTTACAACAAGTTTTGTAAATTCACCTTCAGGGTTTATATAAGCTGGCTGAGAGTCAGTTTTATTCAAATTAGATCGCCCACTAGCTCCATAATATCTGTGTTCCGCTTGTATTTTGAGAATAACTGTGTACGTAAAACCTTTAGAAACTATTGGTGGTGCAGGGAACTTAATTTGATACGATTGCTGCTTTTTATTTATCACAAGTTTATCTTTGCATTTGGCCTTTTCTTGATTGTCCATGTCGTAAATATTCAAGAATACGTCATAGTGTTCTTCGTCATATCCGGTTCCGTCTATTTCAACCCCATCTATGAACACTTCTCTGGAAGATGAAAATGCAATAGCGGTAGTCTCATTGTGCATACAGTTTACCGGACCGAACCGCCAATGAAGGGTTTGATTCTCGCCCTTTGACCTTTTATCTGTCCTAAATTTCTTCACATCTGTATTAGTGCCACTAAAATAATTCTGCAAGATCTTTCTCTCTTCTGCCGATAGAATATCAGACTTAACCACAGTTTTATGGTAATAACTTGCTTCTAAAACAGGAACACGAATGTAGTACAAGATCCCCCCTAAATAATGACGCTGATTTTGCGGTGATACAATGACACCGTTTCTTAAGCACTCTTGTTCGGACCACCGCAGAGCTGCATCGAACACCACTTCCTCTTTAGCATCGAGTTTTTCGGATTTAATTATTTCCTTGACTAGAGATGCATGTAGATTACCGAAACTACCTGAACGTAAGATTTCCTTCGGTTGATGCCAAATATATTCCAAGCATTTCTTTTTCAAAGTCGATTCATCAAATTTGTGGGCTTCTTGGAGAATATCACATACATTATGTGTATTTAATCCATGTTCTAACACACGTCTACATTTTTCTTCCAGTCCTGTTATACCATATTTCCGGGCTGAATACAAAATTTGTATAGCGTTCTTTGCCTCTACTTTAGTATCCTCGCAATATATGTACCTTGAAATGATAAAATGCATCGAAAACATTAAAAGGTTAAATGAAACCTTTTAAATGATTACAGAAGTCAACATTTTTAACCAGACGCCAGTATTCTTTATACAAATCTTTATAGAATTAAGGTTCTAAATAACAAATCTCTTCAAGAAGTCTTACTCTAGCATATGTTGAAATATATCACATTCTATGTCGGGAATGGCTATTTTCTCGTCTGTCTTCGCTGCCATTGGTCCAATTAACATAGCGTAGAAAACACAGCTACGGCTAACAAGAACATAGCGATGTGCTCCAACAACTTGACGTTTCTCTCCCACCAGAAAGTAGACATCGAAGGCTATCTCGTTGGTTAGCATGTGTCGGTTACATTCAGCTAGCGTTTTCCTTGCTTGCCAGTCATAATGTGCTGTCATATCGTCCGAATCTGAAACACATCGAATACCTATGGTTAAAGAGACACAACTTTACAAGATTAAAGACATATTTGTACCTTACTGGACAACTTGTAAAACCGTTTGTTTCAAGCTCGGTATATCTCCACCATCATTCAAAGTCACTGACAAAATCCATATTTTTGGTGCGTAACATAGAATGACTTTTCAGAAGAAAGCCTCAAAATATTGAACAGTAGCTAACAACCACCACATATAGTTAACATACCATTCTATCGAAATATCTCGAAGTATTTTATGCAGTACTCTACCTGTTGGTGAATTAAAACTCAATTTCTTATAACATTCTTATATGATAATCCACCCAGAAGATATAAATATAGTATCAGTATATCCAAATCATTGACAGATTTTGATTTCTTGAAGATAACACTAGAAAAAGACCAGAACACCTCTAATCACTAATCAATAGTTGCAGAAGACTAAAGCTGTCTTATACGCATGTGCACTTCGCACAGATTATAAGAAGCTCAAATTTTTGACAGAATTCAAAGAGAAACTGACACAATATTGCGACAAATACCTCATTCTATTAAACAAGCCTCTACTGAAAAGGTTCAAATATATATCGGATGATTTAAACAATTCGTAATGATCTACGTCTGCTATCGATCCATGCAGAACTGCCACATCAATACATTGTTAAGAAAACTTTTAAAGCTCAAACAATGAATTCTAATGCCGTAAAAAATAGAGAGATGGCGAGCACCATTGATCCGAAATGGAGTTAGAAGGAGGAATCGACAAGCCGGTCATCACGTACAATGAGGCCATTAAAAGTGCAGACAACAGGTTTGTGTGCTCTGAAGTAATTAGTTCTTTACAAAAAGGAAATGTACATTTTGATATTAAAAGAACTCATCGATAAATTAAATGAATCCTGTTTGTGGCTCCAGTTTCATATACAAGAAATTAATTTCGAGTCTTTATTGAATTTCTTGTTTTCAATTGCAATGAAAATCATTCTGTGTGCCTTTTAAAATGTCTCTGGCATTTGCGAATAGAATTGAACGACATTGAACATATTATGTAACAGAGAAATCGTCTGGAGAACAGATTTAGGTTATAAGTAATTGTCTTCAATTTAGACTTGTTGCCGAGTGCAAAAAATACACCACTAAACAGAATGTCCAATGCCTTAATTTTTCGGTATCAGATTTTGTACAAGATCTGAGCTGTATTCTCCAGCTAGCAATGAGGGCTACTTTAATCGCTCGTTCGATGTTTTCATATGCCCTCGAGTTGAGTGCATGTGTACTTTTATGTTGTCAATCTGTCTACCTTTTTTATGGACATTTGGCTGTTTTGTTTTGCTTTTTTAACCCTATAAAGCCTTTATTTCACTTTTTCATTTCTGGACAATGAGTTCGACATTTTTCATACTGTCAACTAAATTCCAGAAATCATTATACAACACATTTGGCAAGTTATCACGTACCACAGTCACTTATCTGCTTACTATACATCTATATAGATAAAGCACTGAAAATATAGACACCATGCAATGTTTTCTCTCATACACGGGTTTACCATGATAAAATGCTACAATATCAGAACCAAAGTTTCTTTTGGAGGTTCTTCAAATTTCGGGTTCCTTTTTAAAACTCATAAACGAAGATTTCATTTCTTTCTTTTATTAATTCCATTCCAAACCTGTGAAAGGGACATTCCTAATTTGAAAACAAAACAAGCTTACATTTCAGTCTTTCAACAGACCAATCATTATAATTTAAAGGACATGACTGGTGCCCCATCGCAGGAGTCCGTAAAAGGGATTCAACGGCTACATGTGATAGTTCATGCCAGCATTGACATTTGTCATGTTCATACCCCTTTCAAAGTGCCATATATACTTTACCATTTATTTTTACGAAATAATTCCATTCAATTAATGAATTTCAGTACATGTACTTGTAACATGAAGAAGTTGGCTTAAACACTTTTACATTATAAGTTTGACATATTATTTTTTTTCTGTTGCAGAGCTGATACATCGTTCATATATGGATTTTACTACAGTATAAATATTCTCTTTATCCAAGGATGAAGGCGAAAACCTGACCACTTCTCCAAAGAGAATACAGCATAAAGTGTACATCTAGTACGCCTAAACTGATTCCTACTACATATAGTAGTGACATTTAAATCATCTCAACATGGGTGGAAAATATGTAGTCCCCATTATCATTAGGTTAAAATATTCACTACTAATATTGAGCTCTCGTTAAACTTGAGGTACATGTAACCCTGCTTTTTGAATATCTGATACAGCGCCCCCTAGAATACAAACTGGTCCCGATTTTTCAAAGCAATGCAGTCAGCCTACCTGACAGCGGAGAAGATTTTGTGAATGAATCATCTCTATACAATTTCCGAATTGTCTCCAAATCCTCCATTTGCAAGACACCTCGACCAAATGAAAAAGGTAGATACGAAAAAAATCACAAAAGTGATTATACTTGTGGGCCCTCGAACGCACCCGACATATATTAATCAAACCACTCTAGGAGGAATGACTAATCAAAGCTTCAAAAGTCGTCCGATAATCCTCTTATAAAACAATTTGATAAATGTATAAGGTGCATACCATTCGCAGGAAACTGTATCCGCCTTTTTGGAATTTAGCACCGATTAGTTTTTGGCATGAATTCCTGGTAACTCGCTGCTTGAAGATTGTTTTCATGTGTGACACAGTTCTTCATAAACAAGGAAAGGTTGTAGCTCAACAAAATTTTAAAGATACTTCAATAAAGCGGTGACACAAATCCGCTAATGATAACTGCAAAGATAATTTAGTTAACCGTCTTTATTGCTACATTTTAAATTTATATACACTCAATTCTATCCCCGAGGCGGTTTTTTAAATTTTCAACGACAATTTAAAATTTGAAATATTTGTCTTGCTTTTTAAAATTCTAAATGATCTTTATTTCAGTAGTAGATTTTATCATGCATGAAAGCTACTACTCAAAGTCAATGAGATCGATTTGGAAGATAGTAAAATTTAAAAATAAATTTAAAAAGTGGAACG